GAAGGTGTAATGTGAGAACACAGCCCCCACAACAAACACCAATTCATACTACACACAGCTCTTACGTTTACTCTTCTTTCTCTTTCTGTAAACAAGAATACAAAAATGCTCACCTTCTTCTTCCTGTTCTTATCCTGCGCCCTGCGCCCCATATCCTCCACCGCCACCCACAACCGCCGTATTCTTCACCAACCCTTTCAACCGCAAGATTCCATACCCCCCTCACAACCTCCTGTCCCCTCACCTCCCACCACCCCTAAATACCCCTTTTCCACTGCTACTACTCCTAACAACACTCCATTTTTTCCGTCCTATCCATCGCCTCCGCCGCCGCCTTCACCGGCTTCTTTTGCTTCCTTCCCGGTGAATATCTCGTCACTCAATCTCCCCCAGCCTTCTAAATCCAAATCTGCCTCCTCTAAGCTCCTTATTGCTGCCGTCGCTTCTGTAATCGCCGCCGTTGCCATTGTCTCCCTCGTAGTGTTCCTCCACTTCCGCAGGCGGAGAAATCGGTCTTCTAATGACTCGAAAAGCCAACGATCTGATAATTACAGCAGTGCGCGAATCAATCAAACACCGAATAACAATCACATCCCGAAGCTCCAGAGGCCATCGCAAACTAGTTCGGAGTTCCTCTACCTGGGTACTTTGGTGAATTCACATGGCGGAAATGGTATTGATTCGCGCAATGTTTACAGTGGAAGCAGAACCAGTGACAGTAACGCTTCGAATTCGAGAAAATTGAACTCGCCGGAGCTACACCCGTTACCGCCATTGAAGACCCACAGTTTCAGCCATAATTACAGAAATGCGGAGGCGTTTTCGAGTAAAGATGAGGAAGATGAGCAGTTTTACTCTCCCAAAGGATCGTTAAACGACAGGGATAGCTCTATTGGGACTGGATCGGCTTCCAGAAGGGTTTTTGCAGCTGTAGAGGTGGAGAATTTCAATGGGTCTACTTCAAATTCTTCTTCCACTTACACTTCATCGGTAACTGGTTCCGGGTCCGTATCTCCAGTTAGATCCGTGTCGTTGAGCGTTTCTCCGGCTATTAGTTTGAGCCCGAGAAATTCGATGCTCAAGTCGCCGGACTTGATCGAGATTCAGATGGCTCCGACGCCAATGCAAACAACAATGGCGTCAGTGCCTGCTCCTAGTGGTTTGCTGTTTAGGGAATCTGCATCGCCGTCGCCGCCAAGTTCTTCGTCGCCAGAGAGATGTTCAAGGAGAAGTGTAGAATCTTCGCCTAGGATTTCAAATGCTTCGGATCAGAATGTGGAGTCTCCAGTAAGAATCAGTAGTCCTCTCCAACAAAATGTGACTGTTATACCACCACCTCCTCCGCCTCCTGCAGTGCATCTCTCTGTCCCACGGCTACCTCCTGCACCTGTCTCTGTTCCCCCACCGGCTCCACCACCACCAAACTGTAAACTCTGGGAAAGTCCTAGGACTCTAACTCCGCCTGCTCGAAAGCAGGTATTGGAGCCACCTGTTTTGACAACACCTTTCAGACCAATTTCGATTGACACTCCTCCATTGGTTTCTCCAATCGAGTTGCCTTCTAGTAATGCAGATACTGTTTCAGATGAAAAGCAATATTCCAATGAGGCTCTGGAGAAACATGAGGAGCTTACCCCTAAACCAAAATTGAAGCCACTGCATTGGGATAAAGTACGAGCGAGCTCTGATCGTGAAATGGTTTGGGATCAACTCAAAACCAGCTCATTTAAGTATAATTCTCAACTTCTGTTATATAATTTATTGCTTGTTTGTCAATTGATTCTTGTCGGTTTAAATGTGTTGGGCTGTAACTGTATGCAGATTGAATGAGGAGATGATCGAGACATTGTTCCTTGTGAATACTCCGAATCCAAATCCAAAGGAAATGGCCAAGCGGCCAGTTCTTCCATCACCTAACCAAGACAGCGGTAATCGGGTACTTGATCCAAAGAAGTCTCAGAACATTGCCATTCTGTTGAGGGCACTAAATGTCACTGTAGAGGAAGTTTGTGAAGCCCTTTTAGAAGGTATTCCCATAGTGTTAGTCTAATCGTTTATATTTCTGTACTTCAAATATCGTGTAAAGTGTTTCTTGTTATGATCCTTATCATTATTTTTCATGGCATGACATGTTGTTTTGGCCAGTTTTAGCTTATTTGATCATGGTTATATGCTATGTTGTTCATAATCATTAAAGGTTAAATATAAATATGTTGATTGAGATGTTCATTGGCTTCACCTGGAACAATGAAATAATTTTTTTTGGATCAAGGCCTTTTGAATGTGACATTATGAAATGTTTTTCTTTTGTTTGTCTTCCTGTGTGTCGGCACTGCCATGTTGAGAAATTTTAAATCTTATGGTGTGCCAATCTTATTATTATTGTACATCTATTTCCTGATCTGGATAGTGACTTGCAAAAAACATCTCATCACTTTAAAGTTCGGAAATGGTATTCAGATTTAGTATCTTACTTCATCCTGCTTATGGAATTAGATGAAATTATACTTAAGTATATGTACATGGCTACTTCTCCTATATTGATATATGGCTTCTTTAACATAATAAGCCTCTTATAACTATATTCTTAACACCTCACATTTTCCTAACTCTCATGTATAACTGTTCAATCTCATGTTTCACAGACACCCAC